TGTGACGGGTGCAGAGAGCCGGTGAGTTGTAGCCATCAGAGCCACAAATATAAACTCAAGTTTAATCAGACCTGACACACTAAAGGAAATTAGATTAAATTAAATTGAAATTGTCTTCAAACTGTTGTGACATGTGAATGTCAGATTTTCTACAAATGATGTCATGTTTATTCTGAAGGGCTCTGACGATGCTGGATTGTTTTCCAACTTTGTCTGTCGTCTGGTGTTACAGAATTACACAACATTTTGAGGACTGGGTCTGCCCTCATCTTCAGGTGTGAGATTTTTTTTTGTTATGATTCAGAACCATTTTCTTTAGAACACTGAAACTATTTCATGGTGTCTGTGTGACTCGCATTGCAGTGGAGATGGTTCACAATCATATTCAGACATCTTCTGCACCTCTGTTGTGTCTCGTATTTGAAAATAAATTACAGCAGCACATTCTGAAACCTATTTGCAACATTTTTGATAACCACTTCAGATCTTTGTCAACATATAATTGTTTTGTTTTCCAAATTGTTCTATATTCTGTTTATATGCAGACACAGAAAATTTGAATTCCAAAACTGACTTTATTTCCATGTACTGATATGCAAACATTGTAATGTGAACGTGTAACTGTGTGACATACCATCTTTTATTTGTATGCAGCAAAACCCTGATTTGGATGAGTAAACTGTTTAATGAAAAATATCACAAAGAAATGGCTATTTATGAGTTCAGTACACAAATAACCTCTCTTGGAATGGGATTTGTTATTGTTTCACATGACTCTGAAGCTGAGTCACAGTGCCACCATACTCCAGTAGAGTGACATCAGTTTTGACTGCTCGCACACAGGATCCGCCTGGCATTTGATGCAATCTTCCGGAAGTCAGCGACCCTCCAGGATGTTAATCCTGATCCTGAGGTTGGAGTTGGTAGTGGTATGGATTTGCCTGTGGCAATGGCAGACCTGACTGATGCACCACCTGCCCCAGCTAGTCCCAGGACATACAAGAAAGTGCAGTTGGTATGAGCGACTTTAAATCACATTTTATGCATTCTTTACACAGAGTTTGTAATATGAAACACATGGTAAGTATTCTATTGATCCATCGTACAAAATTTTGGATCTTGAGATAAAATGCCTGATTGAGACCTGTACATGTATAAATAGTTTTAAGATGATGTGTGTTTAATGAAACACAAGAAAGAAAGAAAGAATCTCAGATGTGAAATCCATTGATTAATTATCTCTATTATGCCATGACTTAATTTCTCTGACCACTTTATTCTCAAACACAATTAGCCACGAGAACGAGTGATCGATATGTCACCAGAGGACCAGAAGCAGTGGGAGGAGGAGGAGATGAACAAGGGAGTGAACTTTGACAAGTGCCACATTGATCCAGCACCCTTCCAGCTTGTGGAGAAGACTTCCCTATTGAAGGTGCATTCCCTTTTCTCCATGGTGGGAGTGAACCACGCTTATGTCACGACTATCGGCAGACTCATTGGAGTCGTGGCACTCAAAGAGGTGAGATTATGGCCCTTGTGGTCATGAGTAGTTATTCTGCTGCTGCATTTCACATCAGGAGCTCACACGTTCTTTGTTTTCAGCTCCGGAAAGCAATCGAGGACTCAAACTCTGGGAACGTTCCATCACACCAGCCTCCAAACATAACTTTGACCCCTCCCCCAGGCTCGGGGATAAAGGGACACTTGCCTCTGGTTAGTGACCTTCACAGTAATGATACCATTACATCCATGGACTCTGCTCTAAGCAGCAACACCGCAGCCAGCGAGACAGACATAGAAGACAACGTGGACAATTCAAGACTATGATTGTCATCATTTATACTGTGCATTTCAGTTTAAAATTGTCATGATTATCTAAATGACTGATTGCTGCCTTGCAAGACTGACAATGTTACAAGGTAAGGGTTCAAGTGTAGCACACAGCTGTGATATATGTTGACTCATACTGGTACACATGCGCTGCAAGCGCATTCCAGAGTTGTCAGTCATAGGACATAGTGTGTAGTGTAGCTGTTCAGCAGAACTATTGCCCACTTTTGTGGCAGGCTGTTGATGCTTGTATTTTCAGTTTTGAATGCTGACTCGGTGTCACTATTTCAAAGAAATTAGTAGGCTGTATCTTCTGGAAAAGTCCTCAGATTTTTATGCTGGACCATGAGCTATGGCAAATGCTTGTGTTTCAGTTGGTTGAGCTAAAAGAACGTGTTGACAGATGGCAGACAATGGAAATGGAAGTCTTGCTCATCACTTTCAAATTTTAGAAGGGAGTGTCCTATGTATCTTCACTAATTTTATCCCGTTGTTCCCTGTGTTTGTCTCTGAAAATTAAGTTCTTGGAAGAACTAGTAAGACCTACTTTCCTTTTACCCTTTCACGATCAGCTGACACTTTCATGTGAGGATTTTCCCAACTCCTTACTGCGGATAATTGGGTTCAGTCCAAGAGCAGTCCACGTATGATTTGTAGTGAAGTGCCTCAGAGGGAGGTTTTCCTCTAAGTCCTTCAGTTGTTTTGCCATTCATTCCACCATCAACAGTCTCATTCAATTTATCCAGTCTGTAAGTCAGGATTTGAACTTGGGACTTCCCAAGTTACAAGCAAGAGTGTAATTTTTATTGTGTGTTTCAGATTTGTATTATAACTTGCATAACATGCAAATTAAATTATGTAAAAGTTACTTTATAATTTTTAAGGGTATGCTTGTTTGTGTCTTTTATTTCTATTGTGTAAATTGTAATGTAATTTTTGTCTTGTTACTGATGAACATAACATGTTCTTTTACATTTCTTACTCCAATTTGACATTTGCTGAGAAAAAATACCACATCTCACAAATAATGTTTTACCACCAGTGAACTCGAAGTTATGGAAGGTGACATAAATCTTTGTACAGATGGCAACAGCTAGGGCACTAGAATTAATTTTTATACCAGAAAGCTTGGTACTAGACTGAAAGTGGTACCTTGCCAGAAGTTCTTAAATAACATTTGTAAAAGTCACCTTATATTGTTTTATATCTGTCATCATTTATATTCGTCTACATCGTGCATGTTTCATAACCCAATCAAAAACTAGCTGCTAACAGCAGTTCTGCTGAACAGAAAATGCATTTAGAAATAGTATTTATTTTTATAAAATGATGCATACAGTCTGCTCTCAGTGTATTGAGGGTTATGTTAGATACAAAATACTCCAAAGAAATTATGAAACTTAGCAATAAAATTAGGAATAATTTACAAGAAAATGGTTTATTTATGAAACAATTTGTATGGCTTTCCTTGTCCACACTGGTATATGCCAGTATATTAGTCAGAAAGACCACAATCCCTTCCCCCCCGGGCCACCGTAATTTTACTGTATCAAACAAATATAACGTCAAATAATCCGCAAAAAAGAGGGCTACCAAGATTGCTGTAATAATTTGATATGATATATGGTAGATGGTGTGGAAAGAACTACTATGTCGATAGCTTTGGAAATGGGTCAAGATAAAGTAGGTTCATACTCAAACGAAAACTAGCGTATCATACGGGAATACATTTTGTATTTCTATGTTTCGTTTAGCATTTTAGTTTTATGGATTTTTGAAATTATCTGTCGAAGTCAAGGATCAAATTTGAATGGGTATATTCAGTTACCGGACGATAAATTCACGGACCTACATAGTTCCAAGTACTCCTAAAAGATGGCAGGACAGGCCAATTGCCAACGTGGATGTTCTTGATGCATTTCAGAACGTACCAGAGGCCAATGAAGTGACGTCACGTCGTTATGTACGTGCATGTCTTCGCACGAGTGTGAAGTACATGAAGTGAAGTCGAAAATTCATTCAAACAGGTCATTGGCATTTACCCGCGCATTTAAGTGTAAAAGAACATCCTTTAAAATTATGGGCCTTATATGCCTGTCCGTTTTTAACACTGGAAACTGTATAAATTATAACACCATCGAAGTAACCACTTGTTTTCAAAATTTCGTATGTGTGCGTTTCTCACGTCATTGCAAACAATAAAGCTAGATTAAAAAGAAACATGAATATATTTGGTATCTTATTTTGACAAACTGAATTTCTGCTGTAAAGAAAACAATCGGAATTTAGTAACTTGTATAGGAGATAAACTACAATTTTCTGTTGAATATCGAATTCTGCTGTAAATTCTGATTAATGAAGGTTTGCGAAAAATATGTAGCTGCTATTAGTGTTAACACGATATGTTTGCTTTGACTGCGACGTCTAATATCATACTAGTATTTATTAAATTTTGTAGTGATTTCGATTTATGTAATTTCAAGTTTTCCTCTCCAATTCCGTATCGGCCATAGTCGATTGTACTATATGTGACGTCATACAGCTACGGGGTTTGCAAAGTTTAATAGAGGGAAGCCGCACCCTGCCCAGATAGTGGTCTGTAAACAGTTGCTGCGAGAAAATAGTTTTAAGAGACAATTATTATTCAAATTTGTGTTGTATGACTCCCTGACCCTCATAATAACATCAGGGACGTTTTTAAATGTGAGTATTACGATTATTTTGTTTGGTTATTTCGTGAAGTGTGAATCGTAGTCTGCAATCGGCGGAGGGGGACAGGCAGTCTGCAATATACGTATTTTGGAATACCAGGTAAAATCCAGTCTAATGCTTGTAATTATGGACTGCCTAATGTTGGCATATGTGTTTGGCAAATATTCAGGTGTATAATGTTTAGTTGTGATGCATAATACTTGCATGAAGTTGTTCTGAAATCATTTCGTATTAGGCTCAGAGACCGTCATGGCCGAATAGTTAAAATTGTATGCTGTCAAGTTTGCACTTTCGTTTATTTCTTTGACATTTGTAGTGTATGTATATATAAAGTTTAAATAAAATTGACTGTGCAGAATTGCGTGTTGAATAGGATACAGTCCTTAACCGTGGTTTTTGCATACGAATACAGTTGCTCTGTATTTAAAGTGAGGTTATAGAGAAAACCCAATATTGGAATGGCAGAAATATCAATAATCATAACATGCCATTGTTTAAATTAACATATAAATTGTTGAGCATTATTAAAAGGAAACACAAGCTGCAGTTGCAAAAACTGATGTCTGAGAATTAGGGTGGGGACCCTTGGTAGTTACAGATTTTTCGTATTGTTAGAATTAAATTTCATTGCAGGTTTAGGTAATACAGAACCAGAACAATAGTGACTGATAATTGTGCATTTTCTCAGCAATTGGTTAGGATAGATTAGAGGACATCTTTGCTACCAGTACTGCAGGTTATTGTGTTGCATAGTTTAAAATTAATTTGACAGTATATGTGCAATTGCTTTATGAAGTATTATCTTAATGGCCTACATTGGTTTCCAACATTACTATATTTTATTTCTTTCTTTGTCATTTTAAGTTCGTAACTCGAAATAGCTGTGGCATCATTTGGCATTTCTGACTCATTTCGTGGTACAAATGGTATGGCATTTAAATACAGATTTTTCCCTCCCCCCCCCTCCCTCTTGTGTGCATGATTAGTATCTTACCACAGTTTGAATATCTGCATGCTTTTGGAGGTCCAGTGTGACAGGTTTTGCATGACTTGGAGACCACATTACGATGTTCTGACATGTACAGATGTTAGTGAAATGTGCTGTTGTGTCCTGTTAAGACTTATAAAGAGTTCCGTATGTTTTTTCAGTTTAAAAAAATTGTGAACGTTATACAGCGAGTAAACTTTCTGACAATGTACATAAATGCCTTTTATAGTCATGTTGTTGTGCATAATTACTAATTGTGAATTTTCAGTGCAGGTGATTATGACCACATGAAGGTATTAATTTTAGTGTTGTAAATAAATGTGTTTTGACTGTGCTAGTGATTATATCTGAAATTTCATTTGGATCTGTTTTGATGTATTATGTCTGTTACATTAAGTATATCCGTGTAATAACACTGCTTTGCATGAACAGATTTTTAGTAAACTTTTGTAATTTGAGTTATCCAGTGTGATTTAATAATATTAATTTTTTTAAAACTGAACATCTTCCTCCCACTGTAATACATCAAGGTCTAGGAAATATATTTTTTGATATATTACAATAGATGTGACAAAGTAGTAACAGCATCAAATGGACGTGAAGGTGTTAGGCGTATTATTGATGACTCAGTCATTGGGAGTGACTGATTACATGCTGGATGACTTGACTTAATTCTGGGCAGGAGTGGGGCTTATTCAGGTGGTAAAACAGCTAGAACTAGAAACTGTCTCCTTGCCTCTCTCTGTCTGGTACCACAGTTAAGAATGCCTGGAGGTTTCCCTCCATGTCTTGATGAGATTGTTTTTAAGTACAGGAACAAAGCTAGCCTTTAGAGTGTAGTGACCATCAGATGATAATGATTACGTGTATGTAATATTCTTAGTCTGCATAAACTGTACTCATTGAAATGTTAAATATTTTGTTCATGTTTCACAGCCATCATGATTTTTCACACCAGTCCAATTACCACTAATTCTTCTTTATAAAATTAGAATGTCTGCTTTAATAACAGTGGGATGAGTAGGTGCTAACATCTGTTTGCTATATTTTGTACTACATCAGCATTCACTATTCATAGAAATTTATGGTGGGTTGAAGTGGCACCGAAGCAGGTTCCTTTCTGAGCTGGTCAGTTTTCCCCTGCTAATTGTTGTTCCGCATTTGCTTCATACTCATTTGTCACCACCCCATGAGATGTGCAAAAGCACTGACCAAGCAGCACATTACCGCACCCTCAGTCCAAAGTTAGGGGCTCTATCTGTGACCAGGCACTTGGCTGATCTCAGAATAAGGGAATAATTTTACTTTGAGTGTGAACATTTGAATGTGCAAAATTGAGAACAGTGCATGATGTAAATGTGAAGAACAAAAGCTAGACATAGATTTGATTCTGAAAGGCTGATAGGCAAGTGGACTTTGGTTAGATGCTTTGTCAGGTACTTAGTGATAATAGAATTTTCCATTGGTGTTCATGCTGACTTAGTGTTCAAGAAACAGATCATAAAATTGTGAAAGAGAACATTACAAAAAAAAACATTGAGGTTGTGGAAGTGTACTCTGATGGAGTGCACATGTTCTCAATGATTTTTTTCTAAGTTTGTGGTGTTAATGTTGATTTGTCGCAGATACTGTTCAGTTTTTCATCTGTGTTGTGTCGAAGTCGTGTGGCAGAAATAAGCCCACTTACAAAGTGAATGAAATACATTGAATCTGTTAAATATTTAAGATTTGTGTCTTCAAAGAGTATATACATTTCTAGGGAGCGGTATTTTTTTACGTTTGGAAATTATATAATCATACTAACATTTATTACTGATCTTTGTCTTCACTTTCTGCTGCCCTGACAAACATAGTCACTAAAATTTTGTTTTCTTTGAGGGGGTAAATAATCTTTCTGTATCTTTTGTTAAACATATTTAAGATTGCAAAGTATTTCAAATAAAAGTTGTTGGTAGATCTTATTGTACATATTTTTATATAATCATTGACACCATTTTGAGTTTTATCTGCAGCAGCAGTTTTGGACCAAAATTAAATGTACGACAAGATTTCTTACAGGCTCTGGGTTCCAAATTTTAACAAAATTCAGTTTGCTAATTTCATAGTCATATCATCATTTAGTCTTTGTTGAAGAATGCATAGTTTTCGCTTGCTTCAGATATTGTTTGTATGAGCAAAATAGTTGAATTCTGTAAGCTTGAAATATTTTTAATTGTGGCCAGCATTACATGCAGGCTGGTCTGGTGCTGATTGCATTGAACATTAGGAAAAGTTTTGTTTGTTGTGGCGTAATACTTGTCCATTTACTTTTTTAATGGTGCTGTTAGTAGCTCAGGCTGTATAGCACAAAATGGTGGAATGATTAATGAATTCTAAAGGCTATGGAATTAATGGGTCACGAACTGCTTTAAGGTATATTCCAGCTTTTGTGTGAAGGAGTTGAGGGGAGAGAAAAACACACATTGCCTGGTATCTGGGCATGAATTTGAATGTAGGAATACCTTAATATGTAGCGCGATCACAGTATAGTCATTCCATGTTAAAGCGCCTTTGCAGTTTATGAGGTGTCGATACGCAGTAAACCAAATTGGTGGCTTGTGAGGTCCATGTTATAGGAGACCTTGAGGTTATGGTTAATGATTTTGAGTGCTGAATAAAGTCAAATTTTGGACAACTTAAAGTGGTGATGAAGGAAATGTTAGAAGTTTTGCTGCTGTCTTGTAAAATAAGTCTTTTTATGTGGCTTATTTATAGTAAAATGATTTGTAAAGGAATGTTTGTAGCGTGGAGAGTACATTTGCCCCCCCCCCCTCCCCTCCATGTCGATGTCGCTTCCTCTTGTCACCCCAACAGGATGATAATATCAGTTAGATAGAAGTGTGCTTATCACATGTCCTTCTGAACACAAATGCAGTATGTAACTTCACTTTTGGGTTGATTGCGTGCCTACATTGTTTGGGTTTAGGATGCACATTGTATGGAATTAATTTGTGATGTGTTTGCCTGATGTTAAAGCCCACATGCTGTAACCATGGCAGCAAATGTAAATGTAGGAATTTGTGAAATTCTTATCAGTTCAGAATCATAGGGTGAGAACAAGGTTAAGATTTGGAATATGAATTTGATTAATTAGTAATATTCTTATGTCTGTCTATGTATTAGGCAGTTTAATGCCTCTTTCCACTGCATCTTGTTCGTTAGTCTTCGCCAAGTGTGCCCATAATCACCACCTGCCTTCCCCCTATTTTATGTGGTTGTTTTCTCGCTTGATGTATGTAGTAATTGCTTTTATTTGTGTTACTGGCCTGACGTTTCTCATGTTTGTCGGTATTTCTTGTCTGTGTGACAGTCTAATACGGATTGTGTACAAGTTTTAAGTAAAGGAGAACTTACTGAGTTGGCGGCAGATTGTGAGAACCAAAATTAAGACTGGTCTGTGTTGCACTTGTCGCTGATGGATGGTAATCCACTACAGATGTTTATTTATGTCTCAGATTTTGTAAAATGTAGAAGACCTGCATGTATAAACCTATAGTTTACCATTTGTTTGGTACAGTTGTGGAATATGGATTCATGGAATGCAAGTTACAAGTGTTCGGACTAAGAAGTATGAAGTAAGCTTCTTGTATGTGGTGGAAGTGGGGCCTCGGGTGTCATTGTTGCACAACGGTGACCCCTGGTCATGCAGGTTGCCTATACACTCTGGAACAATGCGACAAGGAGTCAGGCAGGCATGGACGGGCCCACAAGGTGTTGTTCTTCGATCGAGTCGGAGCGAATTGAAGTCGTCGTTAAATAAATTTAGAATAAACACGAATGGATTGCAAAGTTAGTAGGGTGATGGGATGACATATTGACATTTTTTCCTTGTTAGTGGTCGACCCACTTGAGCAGTTTAAGGGGTTGTCAGTGAAAACAGAGGAAGAGTTGTAACGCTGTGTTCATCCGCGCACGTGTGCGTTTCTGTTCGCGCCTCTTAACCTCATTAACTGCAGTTGCACAGCTGCAGGGAAAGTAGGACGAGACGAAGTCGTCATTTTGCGAACACGGGAGGGAAGGAACGCCGGGCGAGCAGACGCTACGTCAGTCAAAATGGCGCAACTTTGAACGTTTTTTTGTGCCTGAGGCAGAATTCTCTGGGATGGGGATCAGCTCAGAGCTCGTGTGCGGATGCCTTGTTCTCTGGCTCCCAGTTTCGGTTTGCTTGCCCTTAGTTCTAACTGCACAGCCTGCAACGCGTAACATCCGCCTTCCGGGACGCTGTCGCTCCCGGAAGGCGTCTTACAGCAGGTTTTCAACATTTACTCAGTCGAAAGTTTTGTGCGACCGCCGATGAACACCCGCTTTGCCCCCAACCCCTTTTCGATCAGAATTCTGCACGTTTAATTAACCCCACTCCATTACGAAGTTTCATGACAGACGCCTTGAAGAGGTTGCTATAACGAGTACATCCGCACTGCCATTTGGTCTACTTCAGAAACTGGAGTCCTTCAGGTCCGGAGTTTTCCTTTGATTTACTCCGGAAGCTTCACTGCCACCAGTAGCGGATCTGGAGTCGTGATTTGGTTGGCAGTCCTGCTTCAAATTCCGGAAGTTCTAATCTCTGCCGTCTGACGATGTTGTGACGTAGTGAAGATGGCAGTCTTCTGGGACGTAGCGCCTGGCAGAAGTTTGCCGACGTTTCAGAGGTGCTTACTGGCTTCATGATCAGGGCGACGATGATTGAGGCTGCAGGTACCCCTGAGACGCACATGGTTCAACATCGCAAGAGACAGCCTTCTCCATACTCGTCGCCGTGAGAACCACGAAGTTGGCGAAGACTTGCCTTCAATCCGCGTTTCTTGATTTCGGCCGCCCAAAACTGTGGGGCGAGTCCGGTGGCCAGTAGCGATCTGTATTCCCAAGGGCGAACGCTGTGAAGACCACGTCAACGACCATCAGCTTATTCAGGAGCAGCCCGGTGTAGTACGAACATTCGTAGCAGGCCCGTCCATCTGCCTTGTGTCGCGAAGGCTGCCGGGAACGTAGTTTCGTGCAGTTGGCAGTAGGGCGTGGCGCGGTGGCGTTGTGAGCAAGCGAGTGGAGATGATTGCTTATTCTAGATCGGCGATTTGGTGATCGTGGTGGTGCAGCTGGAAGTGTGATCTGTGAAGAGACCCACGCACTGAGATGGCGGTGCAGCGTAGGAAATTGTTCCTCTCTTAAGAATGTACTGTGAATCGGACAGTTGAAAGCGAACGTAGCCAGCCAGAGCGAGGACTCACCACCAAAGCGTTCATGCCCGTATGAAGGCACTTTTGCGCCCTTCTTCTGGTAAGTGGCCCAAGTGTTTGGTGATTTTGTGTCACAGTTACCAGAATTTTCGGCGTCGAGTAGCTGTCAGCCTGAAGTCTGCTTTATCTTGTTTCTTCGGACTGGAAAACTTCTCGAAATGACGACTGTTCATGCAACGTCAGTGTTTTGTTGGTCTTCTGAAGTGCATCGTACCTCTTGCTTTAACATTCAACCAGCAACTTCTTTTGCTTATTTCGTTGTATAGAGAAATACATGTTTGTAATGCAGCACGTAATATTACCATCCGTGTTTTATCAACTCCTATAGTTTCAGTGAAAGTAATCGGAATTTTATCGTCTCTCCCATGTATTATTAGACTAATTTCTTTCGCGTTTTGGTGCAGCAAATATAAGCAAACCCGACGTTTCAGCTGCAATTGTGTTGCACCGGTGGGCCTACATCGGAGGGAAAAAAATTGCTCTGGGTGGTTGCGAAGCAGATACTATGGTGCAGGTCAGAGGTCGACGGCCGCGAACAAATCTGACGTCACTGGAGTCATTCGCAAAGGGCAGGGGCCATATTTTGGCGAGGGCCCAGAAACGCTGTGGGAGCTTTTCCCGATTCCGATGATCTGTCTGCTTCAGAGGGTGAACACGTGGATGTAAGGATCGGGCGTCCGCTGTCTAATTCGCCAGTGCATGCGAGATTCGTGGCCGATGGCTTGAGTTCGTATCCCCACACTGGCGTTTAGGGAACTCCACCGCATTCATGATAATCGTTGGCACTCTGTGGTAACATGCAAGTTGAGATCCGTGAATTGTACTGTTAAAATATTTTTGAGAATTGTTGGATGTGGGATGAATGGGCATCTAGCACGCATCGCTCAAAATATTTGTAGGAAAGTGATGATAACATTAAAGCGGAAATAGGATGCGAGCTGGATTGACCCGTCTCAGTTCCGGGCTCTTTGAACCGCGGGGTGATTTCTGGCCGTGATGAACCCCTTGTTTCCGGCGGTTTACGAAAGTGGCCCGAAACACAGCGCCCGCAGGTTGTGGAGGTGTGTGATCACGTGTTCTCAACGCGGCAAGTATCGATCTCGGAGGGCACGACGCCCCACCGTGACGTCAGAGATGACGTGTGTCGGTTTCGTCATTGATGTTCCGAAGGCGCCCCCCACCCCTACAATTTCTTTTTCCAGTTCTGATCGTGTCTTTGTCCGTCTGTTAGTTTTGTTATTCATCTCCGTGTCCTGCATTTGTTTACGATGCAGGTCGAAACCAAACAGAGAAATCGCACCAAGTGTCTCGCTGACATTCGTTTGCGTGTATTTAATGCTGTTCTGTTAACAGTGGGACTTCGTAATGTCCGGTGGGGCCTCCAGGAAAACGCGTGTTGCGGTTAGAAAGATAGGAGGAGTTTTGCTGTTGTGAGAAACGGGGGAATCCCGTGAAGGCATTTTCATTTGGGCGACCTGAGGAGCTGTTTAACGTCACAGCCATTTTTGGCTTTGAAACAAATGCGAAGTGTTCAGACCTGCAGAGGGGGGGTCGGGCCGCCATCGCGTGCTGGTGCGGCGACATTCTTCGGTCTGTATCAGGCCGTCTCGTGCGATAACACGGACTCGTCTGGGTGCTCTTATCTCTTTGACGTCACACGCCGTGCGCTGACGATGCTCTGGTATCATTCCATGAAATGGAATTTAGCAGATCGTCCCAGTCCCATCCGTTTTGCGAGCAAAGGGTCCCTCGTCGATCAATGGACTTAGTTCGAATTTGATACAGATCTCTGTGGAGCTGTCGCTGAGTTGGCCTGCAAATTCCCTTCATTTTATGTATGTCGGAAAGTTCATTACCTCCCTAACCCGAGGTACATGAATCCAGTCTGCTCCCTGTTTCTTTCATCTCCATTTTAATATTATTCCACGTGGTCTCTTCCCTTCACGTTGTGATTCCGTCCTGGCGTCTGTGTCTTCCCTTCAATTTAAAAGCCTCCTCAGTTTTAACTAGGCTCTCCAGGCCATCGATTCTCCCAGGAACTACGTGTTTGATAACAGTGTGAAAAATCACACTACGGCTGAACATGGAGGCAGTATGTTCCTCCGAAACGCTGGTATCTCCACACAGATCTACACGGCGTTGCAACCCAGAAAACCAACACAGACCAGACTCGCGGTGGCGAGTATGAAGATGGCCGTCTTCTGGGTTGTTGCGCCGTGCAGTCTGGTAGAAGTTTACCGACGTTTCAGAGGTCATACTGCCTCCGTGATGGTGGAGGCAGCAAGCGCCTCATGTCTACCAGTCTACACGGCGCAACAACAATCCATTGGTGCTTAGGTTTGAAGCGCTTGTGGGCGGCTGACAAGGGGTGGTCCGGCGTAAGGGTTGGGTTGTGGCCGAAATGTTACGCAGAACCTCGGAATTGGGCGGGCTGTTGTTAGCACGGCAACGAACCTTTGAGGATTGCCGCGAACAAATGAGCGACTGTTTGCTTCAGAAGTAGGACTGTGCTCCATGCGAACACGATTTCATCGCCGATTGTTTTCGATCGTCGCCAACAGAGTTTTTGTTTATTTTTCCCCTGCGACTTTCTCTTAAACGGGTTTCTGTAACGGGCAAGGAACTGCAGGAGTCAACCGAAGGACGCACGTAACACGAGCGCTACCCTCGGCTGGCTTCGTTGCCCGGGCGCTGACTGTGTGGCTGCAGAGCGTTTGCCGTGAACACCAAACGCTACGTGGCCGAATGAATTGTTTTGAATTCCACGCTTGTGTTCGTCCCAAACATTATGACTGGTACGGATTCATTCGGTAACTCGTTTGGTTTATAAGATGGAGTGTGAGTTTACGAAGGTGTGGAGAGAAAAGGAAGCTGATTAACAGCACTGAGATAGAAGCCAGCGGCTGTGATGCATTTAGTCCGTGCTAATCAGTACTAAGTCTTCGGAAACTGCGGACGCTGTGCTCCTGCGTGTTGGGAGTGCTGCTTGGTGTGTCGTCGTTAAACAAGCGATCGGTGATTTCGTCTGTTTGGAGGATGGACCGTCTCGACAGTCGGTCGGGCGCCGCGGCTGATCAATAACTTGAAAGGCTGCGTCTCAGTGTGCGTCGTTTCTGCGGATGGCAGAGGCAGGCGCAGTGTTTGATCCCCAGATGTGACGGAACCCTGGTCTCCATTTTGCTCCGGAAAAACAGACAGAATTGCTGGCACCTGAATACACCGCGTGCAGTAGTCAGACTTTGAACGCTCAGTCAACATATTCCCTTCTTCTGTGAAACCCGAATTTTTATCGGCGTGTTCATAAAATACTCGTTATTGGACTTTTAATTCATCGCAAACCTCGTTTCCTTTCTCTCAAATATCCAGTTTAATATTATCCTCCAGGACTGTTTTGCATTTCTTTCTCATTCTGTTGTCTGTGCCCTCTCCATCTGTCTCGTCCTTGGAGATTGAAGCCTGTGCCATGTTACTCCATACCGCAGCCGTCTGCACATTCTTTCTTTTAAATTGCGTTGTTTTGAATTTACGTGATGCCATCGAAAACGATTTGCAGTGTCTGTTTTCTGCCATTTTAGATGGGGCATGTAAGTGAAGGGAGAAATATTGCTTCTGGGGATTGAACCCGTGCTGAACAGTGTGGATGTGTGTGGAAGGTGAAAGGAAACTGACCTCATGGTGTGTGTGGGGGGGGGGGGCCTCTAAATGAAGCTCTGAAGTGTGAATAGGCAGCCTGCTTTTCTTTATGTGAACCTTGTTCCTGTTTGTTATTTTTGTATCCACGTACTAGTAAAGATTTTCAAGTGATTTTATCCATCGTAATGTTCGTCCTTTTTCAACGGCAGTACGTTATCCATTATCCAAAGTTTTGTAGTTACAACATCGACAGGTAACTGAAGGAGTAGTCGGTGAGTGATGATTTTTTCTCTTTTCTTCTTCTTTTCCTCCTCTCTCACTTGTGTAGCACCAAATAATAACCTGACTCTCTCCCCAAAGAATTGTAGGTGGTTTCTTACCCGAGTACGTCTTGTCCTCTTAGAAATTGTCATACATTATTTTTATAACTGATTATTCCAGGGATTAGTCTGTACAGCCAGTGGACACAAAATGTCGCTGCACTGTATCGGACTTAATTACAATTCTTAACGCAGATGTGTTCTGACATGCGAAGCATTTAAATAGCACTAACGTAGCTCCCATTTTGAAAGTTCGTGCAATGTGAAGGCCTGCAGGTGAGTTGTCGTACAGAGCCACTCTGTTTATACCTGTTTCTTTCACCAATTGCTAGGGCAGTACTCACTAGTCGGTGTTTGTTACTGCCAACTCTAAATTTAAAGAATCTGAAGACTAAATTTATTTTGAGATCATAAAACTCGTGTGTGTCTTTAAAAATGCGCAAATTGTGAGGGACAGTTTCGCAGTCACAGAATTAAACTTTATAAGCTTAAGAGAGGCATGAACAAAGAGACTTAAGTTATGAACCTTTCTTTCACAATGCGGCAGAGTAACAGCAAAGCCGACGGTGATGTCACTGGGATGCGATCGTCACATTTTTATGTCCGTGGTGGCGGCAGCTTGGAATATCTTCCGGTCTTGTACCTGAACATTTTTTAACAGGAATTGTGTGTGTTGCAGCTCCTGCCCGATCCCGTGCGTGTTGAGCAAGTATGAATGAGTTGGACAGCCTACGGCAGGAAGCAGAAACATTAAAAAATGCCATACGAGTGAGTACTGGAGTTACTTAAGAATGTGTCCTGCTCCACCCGTTTTCTTCCAAGGCGCGATGCTTAGGTGCGAGTGCAACTTCATTTTAGTTTAGGTTGGCCCCTCAAAAGCAATTGAGGCAGAGAATTGACAATGAAGAAAATTACACAACTTGTAAGTTTTACGAAATTTGTTATGGTGTGATCGTATCAAGGAGGATGAGATGAATGCATGTTTGAGATGACACATGCGTACATGTAGATGGAAGGATGATATTCAAACAGATCTTGATTTATCTTGCTTAGGATGGGGTTTTGTGGCAGGCTCTTTGACTATTTGATTTTCAAGAACGGACTGTGGCTCTGTGGATTTGGATTAAAAATAACGCCTCTCTATTGATTGCAATAAGCGTTGTTGACATGTGTCATTCTCTTTTCCCTGCACTGTATTAATTAGAGCTTGGCCAGAGTACAGGAAGCGTGCATTGGGGGAGAGAAGGGAGGTGGCGAAAGTATTTTAAAGCCCCAGGAAATGGGCTTGCTGGCAGTTAACCAACCCTCCCCTCCCCCTACCCTCTACTCAGTGCGACCTGAAAACAATGTAAGGATGTTTTTAAAGCTAATGGCACTGTGTACTCATGAATTATTTGCTGGTGTATTTCTTTAATAGCGCAGCTAAATCAATGTAGGCTGCAACACAGACTTTGGCCAGCAGTGCCTCTAGGTGATCATGGTATTTCTCAGTCATTCTTTGTGCACAGACTGAATTAATACAGCTTCAGTAGCATTGTCCTAGTAGAGACTGTGGAATAGTGATTCTGGTGTCCTACGGTCTTTCACAGTCTCCCTGTACATTGCATTTGTTTTAATTATGGCTGGAGCTCTGTAGTTGGTGCTTGGACAATTGGGTGTTCTTTATTGTGCGTAAAGTCCAAATTAAAATCAAGAAATTTATGAAGGTGAACTGTGTAGGAATGAGTGGGTGAGGAATAATGATATGTGTGTTTAGCCTGCATGATAATGAAATAAAAACTGAAGTGTAAGAAGTTGCATAAGTTAGCAAGTGAATAGGTTGTAATTTTTACTTTCATTGTGCATATCAGATGCAGTAAATTTAGGGAGGTTGAAGTGGCCTGTGTGAAGGAGACAAGAAATTTCTCCAGAATTTTGTTGGTAAAGATCGAGAAGAAAAAGGAGGCGGCGTCGTCGTGTTTCCTTTTACTTTGTCTCTCTCGGTCCTGTATTGTGGGAGATCGCCACTGAAGCCTGATGTGCGTCTCTTGCAGGACGCGAGGAAAGCGGCATGCGACACGAGCCTGGTGCAGGCGACCAGCAACATGGAGCCCATCGGGCGGATACAGATGCGTACGCGACGGACGCTCAGGGGCCACCTTGCCAAGATCTACGCCATGCACTGGGGTTCAGACTCTAGGTAAACTGGAGATTGTGTGTGACTCTTAGCTGAGTGCTTGCTTTCCTTTGACTCGTTCCGCCTGCTGCATGCTCGTCAGACATAATGACGTAAATGTAAAGAGGCTTGGTAGCGTGATGATGTGGTGATAGATGAGTATGGAGCTTTGGTGGAATGATGATTGGCAGTGGAAGATTGAATTGTCTGCCTGACGATTCTCTGTTCACCTTGAAGCGTGTAGCAATGCCTTATTCATTGAATTATGTTAGATTTGGTTAGGAGCCAATCTCCGTAGTCTGTATTCTGCACCAAATAGTATCAGGATGATCAAATCAAGGAGGATGAGATGGGTGGGCCATGTACCATGTGTGAAGGAGATGAGAAATGCGTACATGAAATTTGAAGTGAAGAGGTTATTTGGTCTGAAAACTTCTTGAAAAGTGAGGGAGAGATGTTGTGAGGGTTGGTGATTGATATCCCCATTCTAGTGCCTGGTTTAAGTATCAGGAATGTTTGATTATTGCTAGGTAAAATGTTCAGGTCTTCGAATTTCTAGTACCAAGTTACTCTGCCAAGCCTGTTGCATGTAGAATGAGTGTAAGTACTTTTGTTTCTTTTGTTTCATATGTAGTGAAATTGATTCGCCATGTTCCTCAGACTTGTCTTTGTGCTGTAGCGAAGGCTCTTACGCGGGCTCATGACGTGGCAAGTCAAAATAATGCACGAGGCTTCCATACGGAGGTCAGCAGAACTGACTCTGTCTTTTATGTTTGACTGTGACCATTTCTTTATTGCTTTATAGTCTGTTGGGACTGGGTGGTCAGCCTGAATGTTTTGTGGTTTTCCTCAGTCTCTCTGTAGATGCAGTGATGGAAGGAGTGTATCACGTGCTTTAACATCAATTAATAAGCCAAGGCTCCTGCCTTCCAAATTTATTATTCATTTCCATTTCATTTGATGCCATACAACCTATGAAGTCAGGAAAATGACATTACATGAACTGAGAATCAGTCATAAATACATAAAAGTATTTATTCCTGACCACTTGGGTCTGGAGGGGATGGGGGATGTTATCATGACCAAAAGTGATGTTGTGACTCAGGTTATGTTGACATGTGGCTTGTCCACCACCTAACAGCTTCTGCTCGATTGTGACGTGAACACGTGTTGATATTTTATACATTGGAGAGTTCAGAAATTCACGCAAGACTTTGGTTGGAAAACCTATTTGCAGGTCATTGATAGGAGTGTAATATGAGAATTGGTTTTAGAGAAACGACATGTAACGGCATGAATTGTATTCCCGAGTTTTATGACATTGAATTTCTTGGTCAGCTGACTACTAAGAAGTGTCATTTGCTGTACCTGTATTCCAAATTAAACTTCTTTTCAAGGTTATATGCATGGGATGACATGTTGCTTATAGCATATGTAAGAAGAATTGCATGGCTATGGTGCTGCATAATTATGAGGACCTTCTCCAGATTTGAAATTTGGATTCATTCGTGCATGAACACATGTATCCAATGTAATGATATGCTTTTCCTGTTGTGTAAGAATTCTCTGCATCTCTTTGGTGGAAAGTAGTGAATGCGCTGTAGTCGTTGATGCACGGCTGACGGGCAGGCGGCGGGCTGCCGGGCCGGAGTCTCTCTCAAGTAATGGGCAGTTTGATGCAATGTTTTAGTGTTTGCAGGAACTTAGTGTCTGCTTCGCAAGATGGAAAACTGATCGTGTGGGACAGCTACACCACCAACAAAGTGCACGCCATTCCCCTGAGATCAAGCTGGGTCATGACCTGTGCCTATGCCCCCTCTGGCAGTTTCGTGGCTTGCGGGGGCCTCGATAACATCTGTTCGATATACAGGTACGCCCGCGTGTTGTGTTCTGGCAGTATATACCTCACTGTATGACAGTAGTTGCTGTCTTGTAATGCTGGTTACATCACAGACAGTGTATCTATCAGATGTACGTTTGATGGTGCAGAAATTACACTACAGACTTTTATTTGGGATGTACCCAGTTTCAATAGGTTACTGGTATCCATACTGACAATTTATGCTTTACTCAGTCTCTTCTGCCTAGTTATTTTAATGTGACCTAATTCGAGATTCACATCTGCTTATAGTTCATAATCATCTTTACTTATAATTTGGCATCACAACTGTGGATGAATCGGTGTAATAAAATTTAATAATTTTCAG